ATCTAACATCAGATCCACTCCTCAAACCTGTAATTTTGTAACTATACATACTTCAGAAAATAATTTTTTGGTTGTGCAGAAATATGTGCAAGCTCATTCTGCTGCTTTATTCTTTTTTTTCTTTTTATGTAACAGGTTGGTAGTTGGAGCCAGCTGTATCCTTTGAAAAAGCTGTGATGATTTATGATTATTAGCAGCATAGCTATCTTTCCTATGAAAGTTAAGTTTTTGGAATTCCTTTGCTCATGCCCTGTAGTTGAGTTGGTAATAGAATAGTAATAGTTTTCTATGCAGTAGCATCATGGGAATTAAGGTCAGATGAGGATAAATTCTCAGGATCTTAAAAACAATGTTATCTATGAGGAAAAAAATTCTAAGGCTTTGGAGTTTTATTCTATGCAACAAAAGCAAGCTAAAGATGTTGCCTGTGTGAGGAGAACTTGGTATCTCTAGGTAAAAAGCCCACTTGTATACTACCCTTTTATATTACATTTATATGAAATTATTGTTTATATTTCCTTAACTGATGCTTCACCAGATGTTTCACTTGAGTGTGCTGGTTTTCTAACAGGCATTGGATTGGACACTACAGTCATGGTAAGAAGTATCCCACTTCGTGGGTTTGATCAGGTGAGTACCGAATATCTTACATCCCCTTATGTATCAAATATATTTAAAAGTATATTTGCTTATTTTTATCTCCTAAAGAAAAAGTGTTGTTGGCTTCTCCAAACATTTCCTAGTACGTACTTTCTGAAGAGAAACTAAATAAATATTAGTTCTTCCTATCATATCTCTAGATACTTTATTCAGAAAAATAAAATATTTTTTTTTCCTCCTGCGTAATTGAAAACAAGATTGAAAAGGCTGGAAGGCAGGGGAGGGATTTACGCCACTGCTAAAAACATTAGACAGTCTCTTTAAAATTATCCTGAATTTCTAGGAGTTACAGATAATGCTTTTTTAAATAAATTATTGTACTTAACATGAAGTAGTTCAATGTGGAGTTCATTATAATGAATATAAATAAATCACTAAGCTGAAAGTTTGTAATGACATAGGAATTGGAAATCTTGACCTTACCACTTTCAAAACAGCAGCCGTGATAACTAGGTAAAAAAAATACATAGTGATTTCAGTGGAACGATCAACCCTAGGCTGGAGAAAATTAAAAGCAAAAACTTTTAGGCAGGGAAATTTAAAGAGAAAAAGCTGTGTTTCAAAATTGGGAAAGATTTTGAGGAGTTTTATTTAAAAGTATAAGTGATCATGATTGTGCTGACAACACAGTAAATGGTTTTGGCCAGAAACCTATTCCTGTGTAAAGAGAATAAAAGCAAATAGAAATAACAATGAGAAAAGGCAACAACAACAAAAAATATTTTATATAGGATTTGTGTAAAAAGTATAACTGCTTAGAGAAGCAATAGAAGATAGTATAGCAGGTTTAGGTTAAAGACAAATTACTGGATCCAGAAAAGATGTTACTTGGATGTGAGTTTGTAGCCTCTGTTCTACAGGGTAGATAATCTCTTTGATGGCCTTATAGTCCTTTTGGTCCCTGATCTGTAGGGAGAGTATGTTAAAGGTGATTGTGAATCTTCTATCCCTGCAAGATTTGATGCTAACACTACTTTGAAGGAAAAGTTTCTGTAGTGTTCTTAAAACAATGAGAGAGTTCTGGGTTTTCAGTCACATGTGCAGTGAACTTTTTCTTTGAAGTTTCCAACAAATTTTTTCTCAGGCAAAAAGCTTTGGAAAATGTCAGCCTCAAAAATGAAGACTGTGTCATGTTAATCACTTGAAAATAGTCTTTTCAGAATGGGAATGAATGCACATTAACTTAATTATTCCTGGTATCATGACTTAAGATTTTTTTTTTAAGGCTTAATTACAATAGTGCAAAACATTTACAGGTCAAAGTTGATGAAACAGTGATAGAGCTATGGGCTTGTTTTTAAGAACATCTTTGCACACACAGCATGTAGGAAAATTATTTTCATGTGTAACAGCACAGTTCTTGAGGAGGCAGTATTGCTGTTGGAAGCAGCAGTAGCAAGTACCACTGCAGGTAGTTACAGCTCCTGGTTGCATGCCAGCCACTCCCACTTTGAAGTGGCTTCCTTAAAACTGTTGGTATGTATACCAGAGTTTGTAAAACATTGTATAAGAATGTGTCTCGGGATTTGCACTCATCATTGTAGAAATCTACACCTGTAATAGCATGAGACCTGAGCAAGCAGGAAATAGTGTTAAGAGTGTGTGTGTGGCACTTCATAAAACAATTACAGTAGGGCTTTCTCTGAGAACTTGAACCTTTTGTAGGCAGGAAGAGCACATTTCAAAGTTAAGAAAGTATTAATAGAGATAAAGTAATTATGTTCAGTCTGTAGCCACATGGAGTCTGATGGAAACTGGTTATTGAGCTATCATGTTTCTGAAGAGATATAACCCTCCTGTTGCCTCGTATTAGTTAATATCAACTTAGAAAATAAAGTTTTGTAAACTGAGAGCTTGCATGTAGTTGTTCTGTGTGAGTGGTTTTGTGATAACATCCTTTAAGTAATAAATGTATTCTTTGATAAAGTACAACCTGAATTACTGCAGTCAAGAGCAAAGACATCTTTGGATAAACCTGTCAATGCGACACTTTACTACTTGACTGTGGTGTGGCATTATATCAAACAGGCTCTTAGGAAAAGAGCATTATTTTCTTTTTGTAGTAGAACTTTCCAGGAAACCTTAGTGATTCATAGTCATTGCAGAGAAATGGGAAAGGGAAGTATTTTTCTTCCTTAGCTTTATTAAAGTATTTAATTCTCATCAAGCTGCCAGAAAATGGTAATTATGATAATGTTAAATTAAATATGCTCTAGATGCTATTTTTGTGTAAGCAACAAAGGATTTAAAAGCAACCATTTTATTCATATACTTTTTACTATTTTAAAAAATAATTTGAATATTCAGATGTAGATGCCTTTTGGAATGTAGATGCCTTTTGGAATGTAGTTGCAGGTCATAGTGGCTCAATAAATTATCATGTGTTGACAATGCATAGTAACTAAGTGACAAAGAATGTTTGAAATGCACAGTGTATTTACTGGATTTTCCTGAAGACAGCTGAAGGAGGGGTTTACATTAAAAAGGTCATATATCTAAGAATAAACAATTTATTTTTTTCCCCTACTCAACAGCAAATGGCATCTTTAGTAACTGAGCACATGGAATCATACGGCACAAAATTTTTAAAGAGATGTTTCCCAACCAAAGTTGAAAAATTGGAGAGTAAGAGATTGCAAGTCACCTGGAAAAATACTGACCTGGGCACAGAAGAAACTGATTTCTTTGACACAGTGATGTGGGCAGTAGGTAAATTTGATTAGCTTAACATTTATTTGCAATGCTTTCCATTCTGAAAATGAAGCCCCCTCATCAAGCCATATGGGGCCAAACAGCTCCCCCCCCCCTTTTTTTTTTTATATTAAATATTTAGTGACCTAAACATTGACAGTTTTTTCATTCTTTTCTTGCATGCCTCACTTGTTCACTTACAGTCTAAAAACACATGAAAGTTACAGTGAATGGAAGAAATCTGTGGTAACTACTTGTGCATGAGTTGCAATAAATGGGAGACCATTTAGTCATCCTCTCATTTACCAGATGGTGAGAGCATGAATTCCAGCAACCTCTGTGCTGCTGGCAGTGTTTTCTAAGTCCGTACTCTTGACTTATTCATGAAGCTACTCACTACAAGTTCCTATGTATCCTGTTCAAGAGGGTACCATTTCTTCTAGGAATCTTTCTAAACTGTGCTGCTTAACTGTTCCTTTCCCCTGGGTAAGTCAGCTTTATATCTTCCTAATACCTCAAACAGAGAGCAGGTTGTATGTTGTGACAAACATTTTCTTCCGCTTACTGTGATTACTATTCTCTTAGAAGTGCAATGGGCTTCTATAAATTGTGGAAACAGCCTATAATAATGGATTATGCTCATCAGAACCAATCAAAGACACTAGTGCTTGCCAAGAGCAAAAAAGGTCATGCTATCTGGAGATGTAACAATTCTGAAAACTGTAGAGTAATATTCATGAGGTGAGATGAAAACGTTTCCAAGAAGTGGGTTTCTAAATGCTGTATTTGATTTTTCTCAAGCTTTCTGGTAGAAGTGCACTGAGGTGGAGTCACACCTGTGAAATGTCAAGTCAATTTGTTTACTTTTGTCAAAAATGGAAAAAAGAGCTATTAAATTTAAATAGGAAAAAAACCCTCTTGCTTTAGTGTTAATTATAATGGAATAAGGTTGTGTGATATACTATTGCAAGTCAGTTGTAATGTGACTCCACTATTTTGATACAGAGGAACTACATGTATTATAATTTATGTCATAGATTTGAGTTACAATCCATATTTAGAAACTGCAAAATGAATAGTTTGAGGGTTTGGGGTTTTTGTGTTGACCTTTTTTTTTTTTCATGTTCAGATTGGCACTCCACCCTTAAGGATTAAACACATTAACAGTTAAAGCTGGTTAATTGATGTGCAGTCGATATGATTCATTGTTTTGCTCTGTATCAACACACCCACACCAGGTGTCTCAGATAATAGGCTGGGAAACTTGGTAGTGTTGAGGATTTCCTGTCTGCAGATGTGCCAGTTACAATACTGATTGAAGAAAGTCAGCTTGTAGAGTTAGTTAAAGAACAGCCGCTATTGTTAACTAATTGTAGCCGGAATTATAGTAGATATTTTCTTAATTTTTGTAAGCGCATTGTGGAATTTTAGTAGGATTTTATGAATAATGTTAAAAATATTTACTGACAGTGGGATATAGTTTAAGTTTGGTAAGCTATAGTATTATGTCTTAATGTGGGCCCTTTGAAAAACATTTACATTGTTTTTCTATGAAGAGTTTTGTTTGTCTTTTGGAATGTGTAGTTTTCTGCTTGTGTGGATAAGCCAATAAAAGCAGGCACAATACTCTCTTTGCTTTTCTAGCAGCTTTTTTGAACCAGTCAAAATACTTGAGGCAAAAAGAAAAATCTCATTTTGATACCTTTTAATATAATTTAAAGGTTTCAATCCAAAGCTTTTGTAGGTAACTGTTGCGGGCCTGTGTTACCTTGCTGAGGGACTATACTGTTCTATTCTAGATCAGTGAAACAGCTCTTTCTTGATCTTTATTTGATTCTGCCTGTCTAGTCCTGTAGTGTCCTTCTGTCTTTTACTAGTCCTCTGTCTTCTGCTTTTGTGAGAAGTCTTCTGAAATGATAAGCTTTGAGGTTTGGGGGTTTTTTTGCTCAATATGGAACCAATAAACTTTTAATATTATATAGCATTCCCCCTGCCCTTAAGGATGCAAAAAAATATATGTTAGTTGCCTAATATACCTGAGCTACAAAGCAATGGTAATTGTGTGCATGTACAGATTGAACTTAGGGTCTTCATCCAAAGAAAAGGGTAGAAATTGACACCTTTATAAACAGATGCAACTACTGAGCTGAAGGGCAAAGTTGCAGGAGATCAGTCTTTGTAGAGTGGGTTTGTTTCAGCTATTGGAGGACTGAAACCTGTGGAGTGAATGCTGCAGTTGTAACACAGTTAATGTATAAAAGGAATTGGCGAGTAGTATTTCCATTTGACTTTGCAATAGATGGCAAAAGATCACTGCTGTAACTGGAATTTGGTTATTCATGAAGTCCTTAGAAAAGATACTGAGTTACTACATATCTAATGGGGTCTTACTGTGTAGAGGAGCAACACTGAATTGATGATTAAACTAAGCAGGTATTTACAAAATATCCTAGAATTACTTTGACAGAGAAAGTGAGGTAATGTGCTAGTAAATTGTTAACAGAAAGAGCAATGACCAGCAGCAGATTTTAAGTTTAGCTTTATGAAAAGAGTTTTCTCCCTGATGAGAGCAATTCTCAAGTTCCTTTGCATTTATAAGCTTAGCTGAAAGACACGGTGTCTGAAATAATATCATCTTTGCTATAAAAAGGAGTTATAACTTTAGCTCAATGTATAGCTGAACAGGTATCAAGTGTTGCACATCACGTGCTATCAAGCATATTGTGCTTTGTGTTAGACTGGGTGCTTGGCAGATTTATTTTGTAGTGCAGTAAAATAAGATCCTCACTGCTCAATATCAAGAAAGGGTTAAGTACATAACATTTTTTTAAATAGTAGTTTTCTTCAAGTCTTAAAACCAAATCAGTTTGGATTAACTAAGAAAACAAAAATTTTGTTGGGAGATTTTGTTTGAAAAGTCCCATATGGTAAAATATTGCTGTGATCTCCTGTGAGCATATCTCTGCCAGCCCCTATAGAAAAGTGGATCGACTTTAGATTCGTCTCTGCGAACAAAATCTTGCCATTCAGTTTTTAACCTTTGAACTATTCAGTGAAAAATAATGCACCTTGGTTGATCTCGAACAACTGTTAGTGCTAATGTGATGTGTTTGCTGAGGCTCTCGATCTTTGTTCTGAACTTCCCATGTCTCTTTCTTATTAATTTTAATTCATTACTGTCTTGGTAAGATGTGGTTTCTGCAGTCCTAATGAAAATTGTCATTCCCGTTACATCAGCCAGTGCTTTTAGATTTTTTTTCCCAATGTCTAGTTTTAATGACATTCAGTCAGACTTTATTCAACAGGGCTATTTTTAATGTGCTAGTAATTTCTTTGCATTGAAAGAGGCCTGGATGGCACTTTTTCCTTCTTTTGTTTAACCCACCCATAAACTTTGAGTGTTACTCTTATTTTATGCTACTTACTTTACCAGTTTGTAACTAGAAAAAACATTTCTTCATGTTGAGGAAAAGTTAGATGCTAGACTTTACCTCTAATCTGTGTGTGAGAGAACGTTTTGGATTCAGAACTATAAGGTGCTATTTGAGTTGATCGGTGATGGCTAGCCTTTACCTGAATGATGGTATAAATAAATAAATACAAAAAATGGTGGAAAATGCTCCAAAGTAATTTCAGGAAACTAGTCTAATTACTGTGATATTTTCTGCAGAATACAAGTTCTGTTCACCCCTAAGTATCTAGGAGATTGAAGCCAATGACCTCACTTGGGAATGGTGGTTGGGTACCAGTTTTTGAGACTGCAGAGCCATCCTTTAAGGGTGTACAAAACCTTTGGTTAAAGCAAGCTTAATGTGGGAGAATTAATGTAAAGGTGAACTGTAGCTTTCTTCTCAGAAAATGTTTCCAGCCCACTTTACCTTGTACAGGACCTTGAGAGCAAAACAAATAGAATTGTTAGAAGTCTGTCCCATGCTGTAAGGTTTTCATTTGGTTGCATGTCACTTGGAGTTGCTTTTTTTTGTTGTTGTTTGGGTAGGACCAAAGCAACATGTCTCCAGACACAAGTAACTTCAGATGTACAGTGGATGGTGATGGCCAGGTGTTTACTGATTGCACCATGGCTGCCACAAGCTTTCTGCTGAGATGACTTCTCTGTGTAATAAGTGCTGCAAGAGAGAGTACAGCTTAGCAGAATTGGCAAAGAACCGGTTACTGCCCTAGCACTGACTAAGGGTCAGATTTTTTCAAATTGTGGCAGGCATGCTGAAAGTTTATCAGTAATGAATGAAATTTTCAAAAACATCCTTGTAAAATTGGTGCACACTGCTATCAATGTGGTAAGGGTTCTGAACTTTTTTTTACCTTAGTTAATCTTACTGTAGTCAATATTTTCTTATAATCTGAACATCAGTTACACTGAATTAGTCTTTATTAGTCATTATCAGCTGACTGTGTTTTAGTGAACACCTTGTGGGTTTTGAGGAGGGATTTGAAGGAGGAAAGGCTAGTGGTCTTGAAACTAATTTTGGGAGTGTGTCAGGCACCCAGAACAAGATGGGGGAGTACCAAGACTGGGGACACAGATGAGATTTTGATTAAGATCAAACTGAAGTCGGATTGAGTAAAGTTACGAAGTGATGTGTCAAAATACCAACGTATGGGGAAGAAGTGGAGAAGACTATTGGGCTTAAGTTTTATGCCAGAAGAACCATCCTGTCACCCTGCAGTATCCTCACAGTGGCTATCTGCAGTATCATGCCTGATAATAAAATGCTTCATTGGCTCTAGTTTGAATTTTTCAAATGCTGGGGGGCAAACAAACATTCCAGCTTCTGCGATTAAGAAACTGCAGAAGACCAACTATAAAATTCTGCTGTCAGCTGCACCTTTATCACCCTGGGAAATCTTACTGTATGCAAGAGTATGCTATCAGTCATTTACTGGTGCTACTTACTTGACTATGCCTATTCCTGTGGTTTCTTCTCAGTTTAGCTGCTTCAGTCTCCACTGTGGAAGGTCCTGCACCTGAAGGTCACAGCAGCCTGATACTGCCTTCACCTTATTCTGTGTGCAAGTATGATTACCAGAGCCCCATCAGCAGATGATGGGACAGAAATGCTACATCACAATATAACCAGCGTAGCACGTATGTGAGATGGGTGCTTTAACCAGTCTCTTTCACTCTTCGTAGCTAAGCTGGATGGCAGCCCCGTTAGGAAGCCATGTTGTTAGATTTTACAAAAACAGATCAAAAAGCTGTTTTTTCTTTTAAAGTTAAAAGCAAATGGGGGCAGGCCCTGAAAGCAGGGATCTCTGTGGTTTTCACTGCTATGTGGTTATTGTATGGATCTCTTAAAGATGAGATTATGACATGTTATTAAAAGTGCAGGAGGCAGGTAACCTTTTTAAGGGTCAGATTTGAGTTGGCACCTTTCTTCTAGATGTCTGGTATAATATCTTGCTGCTTTGAGTAAGAGCTAAATCAAGTCTTGTGTCTTATACAATCATACACGCCTTGTTCTGTGCCAGTTTCCAGGCAGTGGACATCTTCAAACTAAAAGCACATGTGCTGGCTTTAGGGGGAGGGGGGGCCATCTCTGCGTTGTGTGCCTGGTAGCATTTGATATAGGTTTGTATTGCCCTCTGGATCTTAGAAATAAGCTATAAACTCATGCTTTCTTGAAGTTGTAAATGAAAAAAACTTAAGAGTTATGGGTATGTAACAAATGTCCTTTTGATCCAATACTACTGAGAAATACTGAGAACTGATTCTATAATGCAAGTAAGTAAATGTTGGGAAATATCAGAATTTCCTGAACTGACATTAAAACTTACCAAGACACACTGGATAATCATGAACCTAAGCTACTGAATTTGAGGTGAAGCAAGATCAGTAAGTGTAATTCTGGCTTATGGAGGTGAGCCAGCATGGGGCTAAAGGCCAATAAAGCTTCAGTTCAGTTTTTTAAAGTTTTGCTTTTGCTTTCACAAATATTTAAGCTGTAAAGTTGAGAGAGAAATTTCACTATCAGTAGCAACACAGTTTTTTTGTGTCTTAGCTATTAATACCAAGCTATACACATGCTAAAATAGACTAGAATTGAAAGGTTAAGTGTTATCCTGCAGATTTGATAAACTCAGCTGTTGTTGTCACAGATCTTTAAATGACTCTATTGACAGTTTTTCTTTTTTTCCTCTTTCAGTGCCTGCCATTGCGTGCTAAGCTTTCTCTTGGCTCTGCCTGGCAGGAAAAAGGGGAAACTAGAAAACCCCATTAGTTGTCCATTTGCAGAATATCCAGGCTTTACTCTCAATACACAAAGAAATACAACGGTAGGAAGTTGTTTCACATCCGAGCCAAGATAAGGTCCTGGAGGTTTATTATTTTTGTTGCCTGATAGCATCAGGACTGGGGAACAGGGGGCAGAGAAGGAACAGCAGATCAACATCCCATGGGGACAACAGAAGGGAAGACAGACAGATAGCCAAGTGCCGACAGCTTCAGTCAGTACTCCCAGAGGAAGTGTTGGTTTCACCAGATGAAATTAATACACAGAAGTCTTTACAGAGGCATTCAGATGTGACATTGTTTGGGAGGCCTGGCTATATGGCAGATGTATAAAGCAGTGAATCATATGTTTACATATAATTAGGTCTGTATTGACAAGGCAGGTTTTCCTTTTGTTTAATAATTTCCTACATTAACATCAAAGAGCTTGTTTTTATAATGAAAACACATTTCCTTTTTTGTTTTGCTTTGCAATAGCTCTGTATTAACATCAATCACAAAATCATGACTTACGCAAAGGAGACCTATATATGTAGACATATCCATATTCATTTATAGCCTCTAAAAATGGATGCAATGTTATAACATTTCCTTCATTTGGATATATTCAGGTAATCTTTTCTATGTGATCCTGTGTGTCCCTACAAATTTTAGGAGTACCTGATAATTTCACTATGCTTGTTAACCTTCAAATACGTTTGAAAAATTTGATAGGATTTAAGATTCTGATTTCTGGCTCAGGAATTGCTATGTTAGATACTCCATAGAAAGCTCAGTATAATGTTATGAAGACTTCGATGGTCTAAGTGGTAACTCTATGCAGAAAACACTTCCAAAATATTTTTTTAAAGATGAGATAATTTAAAATCATTGGAAGAGGAAGCTGTAATAAAATCTAGGATTGGTAGAATTTGCCTCATTTGTTTTAAAATAGTGTTTCTAAACTCTAGGAATAGTATTTCTAAACTCTACAGAAATAGCTCAAATACAGAGTTTGAGCTAAATAACTCAGCATTAAGAACTTGAGAGCAAAGCTGGTAAACTTTTTCATTGAAGCTGAGGGAACTAAAAAAAGCTTTAAGATAAGTGTATCAGATAACAAGAAAAGAGGACTTCAGGAATGATTAATATTGAACAGCATTATTAATAATTTTTATCCACAAGTGTGCACAAAAGGCTGTTTGTTAGTATTGAGTGCCATTTGGTTAATGTTTGTTGGAAACTTTCAGTGTAGAAGTTGCTTAGTTATTATACGTATATTCATGCTACATTAGGAAACTGAATTTAGAATGTGCAATAAATATTAAACCATGTGGGTTTTGCACTTTTTGCAGTGGGTGTTGTCTTGCACATTTTTAAAGGATAACTTTCTCTGAAATTGTCTGAGCAAAGGCAATAGTAGTAGAGCTCCTTTCACAAAGAAATTCATATCTATACTTTCCACCCTTACAACTTTTTTCAGCATGAGATAAGTTTTGTCATGTTTCTACTTGAACTGTCAAAGAGGACAAAGTTCTTGGAAACCTACAGTGAAGGATGCCAGCTTTTTAGATTAACACTGCTGAAGTTTTCCAATAGTTTTTACTTTAATTTCTTTCTTTCCTTGAGGCCGAGCCCCTGACACTGAAACTCTCAATTTGGAGGCAGTTGGAGTGAAAACTAATTCTGAAACTGGAAAGATTATTGTTGATGCCAGTGAAGCTACTTCTGTTCCTCACATTTATGCAGTTGGAGACTTAACAGAGGTACTGAGTCTACATAAATTGTTTTACAATAACAGGAAGCCAACTTTGTTCCTGACTAATAACTAGTCCCCAGATGTTGTCATGCTCTAGCATGTATCTTAGTGTTTTGCTCTTTTTCATTTTGCAGAGCTGTACTGTTTATGCCAGCCACCTGGGTCAGTAATTTCCTTCACATGGATCTTGTGAAGTATCTCAGCATTAGAGATTATTACTGATGTTTATCAGGGAATGCATCATTGGTCAGAGGCTAGTAATAATGTCTTTATCACTTCAGTTATCTTTCTAATAATGTTTTTATCACTTCAGACATACGACTTCATGCTGCCTGTGAATGCTGAATGAAAGTACTTCTTACCTTCTGGAGTTGAATACACTTACTGGGAATGACCTTTACAAGTTCTGTAATTTCTTTTTTAATATTTTGGGGTTTAATTGAGACTAGTGACAAGACAACATTTCTGCCTCATGACACAAAATGCTTCTGACAAAAGAATTCCTCTAGAATAAGAAAAAGTAATTGCTGTAAATACTAAATGCATTTGACTTCTATTAATGATTTGTGAATGATTATGGCAAGTAAACCTGAGGGGTGTTTTTTGGGGGTGGGGTTTTTTTGGTGTTTTTCTTTTTTGTGAAGGAGGGAACATTATAACTTAAGCAAAATTTACTTATTACAAAAGCAAAACCGGAATTCTGTGGCCTTAGTCTAGTGCTATTGATAATCTACAGTTACCTAGGACAAGAATGTCTTGTCCTGATCAAAGTGCACTCAAATACTTTCAATCCCTCAATTTTCAGTTTACAGAAGAACTCAGAGTATCTGCTGTAAGTTTGGCATCTTCAAATATGTTGCCTTCATAAAAAGTAATGTTTGTCTGGATTCTGAGCTGTACAGTTACAGGAGGATGTTTTCATCAGCTGCCTACTGTTGCTGAAAAATTTGGGCAATATGTAGAATATAGAGGCTGGGCATTGCAAGATACAGAATTCTTTCACCTATTGTTGAACTCAATGGAATTGAGCACATGCCTTCCTATCAAGATTGGTTTTGATGTAATGACGGCATCTGTTTTAAAAATCTGGTAAATCTAAATACTGTAGCAATATCTAAACACCATATATAGTATAATTTGAGAGATTTTTAAAAGATTTCTCGTTCTGCCATGTTTAAAATCTTTTAAAGGTCTCTCAAATTTATAAACCCTACAGGTGCTCTGAGTTTTTGAAGAGATGTAACAGGTTACATAATATCTTGGGAATAGCCCTGCAGATTTCTGACTGGACTCTGAAACTGCCAGAGACACTTAAATCTGATAAATCCGCTGACCATTCCTGACCTCTTCCCCTCTATGTAGACATGTGTTTCTTCCTGTCTGTCTCCATATTCATGCGAATGACTTGCCATTTCCTTTTAAACTATGTTAAAACTCTTTCCTGCTCTGCCATTTCTCCTTTTTTTCCCCTTACTCTCCACAGCTTCTCTGTCCTGTTCAGTCACTCAGAGCTTTGGGATTATGTACAGTTCCTCTCCTTCTCGTTTCACATAGAGATTCCCTCTGTACTTGTCACTTCTTGCTCTGGGGTATTTCCTTAAGTCCTCTTTCTGCTCACAAGGACCTCCTACACCTGCTTGTCCCTGATATATGCCTTGGTTGGGCCTCCTGCTTTCCAAACTTTTCTTTTTAATTTCATCCAAGAAGCAGTTGTTAGAGGCAGTGCTGGCAGGGCCTTAGATTCTGTTGCTCATTTTGCTGCCAATCTGCAGTGTTATTTTGGGCAAGTCATTTCCTTTTGGGTGCTTTTTTGTCTTCTGCCCTTTGAGGATTTAGTTAAGTAAGAAGTATAAAGTTGGAGGTAGGATGCTTTTGTCTTTCCTACTCTGGATCTAAAAAATCAGGTCTTCATTTATTTGTCATTTTCATTTTGTTAAAACTTGGATTTCCTTTTCCTGCTTTTGTCCTTCTTAGTGCAGATTTTTGAACTTGAGTTGTTCAATAGCCATTTCTAAATGTGTTAAAAACAGCAACACAGTTTTATCCTGTGTCCAGTATACAATTGGGGAAAAACTGAAGAGCTAAATCAGTGCTCTGTAGAAATCATTTCTTAAGCTTTCATCTATATATGGGCTTAATGTAGGGAATTAAAGAAATCACAGTATAGTACTCATGCATTTATAGAGTTTAAAGATAGAAGGAATTATTGCCATTATCTTAGCTGACTCCAGCACAACATGAGCCATGTAATTCCACTTGCTAAGCAATAAAGTTTATTTTATTTGAATTAATTCTGTCTTTTCTTTAAAGCAGAATTAATGTAGATAATAAATTTCATTGACATGGAAGCCAGCAGTGAAAGAAATTTCTGTATTGGTGCACATCTCAAAGCAAACACGCAGAAGAATCAAATGCATCCTGCTAAGAACCACAAAGCTGTAGAGCTTGGTGTGTGATACTTTCTGGGTGAGACCTACCAAAAGAGCACAGGAAGGGGAATCTTGTTTCCTGTGAATGAGCATGTGTGATCCCTAATGTTGCTTATAAGATTTTATTTTTTTTCCCCCCCCTCCAGTGTTCCTGCTCAGGATTTCTCTTTGCTCTGCTCTCTTCCTGTCAGAGTATCTTTGCTACCATAAAATGCTATTGGTCATACCTTTGCAAGTAGTTCTCAAGCCCTCCTCCTCCCTCCTTTACCACACTAAATTGCTACCAAATATCAAGAACTATTTTTTTTTTTCTAATTCAGTGCCCTGACTGGAAGGGGAATGAGCAAGAGGAAAGGCAAGTTTCCTGATATGCACAGAATGACTGTTTTCATTTGGGAGTCATACCCAGCTGGCACAAATGGGGAACTATGTGTGCATGGGTGTCTTGTTGCACCCTTGTATGGCAAATGGAATCCTAATGTTATCCAAGCTGTTCATTTGGAAAAAAAAAAAGGGGGGAAAAAAAAACCTTTCAGAGGTCAGTCAGTTTTTCCACCCTTAAAAAAAGTTTTTCAGACTTTGGCAAAATATTACTTTCAACTGACAGGTGAAACCGCATTTAGGCATTTTCATCTTCTGTAATCAGGATAAGGAAGATCCAGCTGGAATTTTAGTTTGAATTGGTTTTCAGTGCTAATATAAGCTCTCTGTGTTAAAATTCTTCCTCCAGTAGTATTCTTGTTGAAAAGCATGGCACACACTATAAAGAAGTTCTCTTAGAAGGAGGTTTATCATATGATCATGCCACTATACATCTGTCATGTTTCAAAGGGTGTTATAAAAAAGACGTGTAGAGAACGTGGAATGTACAGTATGTTGCTTTGAATAGAAATAAGACCAAAAAGAGTTGTGTTAGAACAAATACACATTACTTCAAAGCTTTTTAAACTCTCTCAGGAGCCATCTCGTTTAAATGTATAATACGTTGGAGGATTCTTATGAACAATTCGTATCCATAATAATCAGCAGAGTAGTTCTACACATGACTGCAAAGTGAATGTTCTTTTCAAATATTTACCGAGGAAGGTCTTTAAGTCATTGTTTATGAGAAATTGGACTTTATCTGCATGGATGTTTTAGTAATTAGTTGGGTTTTATGGAATGCATGGCAGTGCTTTCACAATTTTATCTCTCGTTCCAATCTTCTATTCATTTCTGGAATGCCAAAACAACATCTGTATTTCCTGCTACAGAAATGATTGACAGCCATGTTTCAGGCAAATGTGTATAAGAAAAAACAAATGGCAAATTTCATCTGGTAAATGACATTTACAGACTTGAAAGTCAAAATGCTGGATTTGAAAAACCATGACTGGATTTCAAAAACCGTGACTTGATGGATCATAGGGTGGGGAAAAAAGGGATACACTTGCAGTTTCGTGATTTGTCATGAACTGTGGGGCAAAATAGGTTCATCTTCATTAACGATTAGAATTGTGGTTTCTGTTATCAGGTTAGACATAATGTTGTTTCAGTTTGATTTTTTGCAATGGAAGTTTTAACTTAAGTGGTTATTAGTACAGATAAAAGCATACATATTATTATTTGATATGGTATATATACTGAAGTAAAGGGTAGTTGATACCATGTACAGAATATATCTAGCAACGTACAGAAAAGATAAGCTGGGAGAGAGGAATGAGTTCTAGTAAATGCTAAAAAACTTTAGGATAATGAAAAAGTTTGAAAAACTTGGGTGTGTGTGATGGGGAATCCTTATTTTATTTTCTGCTGAAGACTGTTTTTGAGGGCTTATTAGATGACTACCTCCAGTGGGGCTTTGCAGGAGTGTGACAAGTGTTGTATCTAGATAGGACATGTATGAATCAAAACTTCACACATTTTATAAAGCATTCCATGTTGTCCCACAAAGGTGTTTTTCAGTTATGGCTCTCTTATGTCTCCACATCATTCCTTCTAGATTTGTGACCTCTTTCCTCATCTCAGACAAGCATCTTGATGATATGTCTTGGATAAACTCTTAAGTAATTTTTTTTACTAGGTTTATGAAGTTTGTTAGATCTTATTAACTTACATGAACTGTTCTTCCTCGGACTTCAAAAAATTCCTTTGAAAATGCCTTACTTCAATTTGCAAAAGCTTCCAGCTTCCTTAAAACTAGCACTGGAGTTCTGATGTTCCAGTGGTATTGTGCCAGCACTCAAAATTAGGGTTCTGGCACACTACATAGTCCTGTTTGGATATAAAAAGTAGCCAGGACTCATAGCTTGAACTGGAGCATGTCCTGGTCATATCCTGCTATAATTACATTTCTCACTTGCAGGAAGTTAGCATTTGCCAATAGCAATCCTTTTCAAACCCGTTTCTAATACCAGATCCTGAGACTACAACCAATTCAACCTATAGGTTGCAGTGCTAGGAAAATAGTGTTCCACTTCTCCAATCCAGGACCAACATAGGAAGTCAGTAATAGTGCCTACAAATAACTAAGTTTTGTGCCTGTGTTCTGTAAAAATGTGACAGACAACTTTTTTTAAAAGGTCTGATGTTATAAAACCACTGTTGCTTTATACTAGGCTTTTCCATTTCTTGATGACTTACTATGGAAAGAGGGAAGTGAATGGTTAGCATGTGAATATACTCTGCTTTTCAAAAGGTGACATGATAAGATATAAGTTTTTGACGTATTCATGGCATTTGTTGCCCCCTATTAAGAGAGATATTAAACTCAGAGACTTAAAAGCATATTTGGACAGAAATTATTACCGCTTTCTCTATTTGGAGCCCTGGCTACTAGGCTGGAATTCCAAAGATTTGGCCTTCCTCTGACCATTGTCCCAGGAGAAATCCTTGGATGCTACTTAGTTAAAATAAAGCTTTGTGCTCTCTTCTTAGGGCCGTCCTGAATTAACACCCACAGCAATAGCTGCAGGAAAACTGTTGGCTCAGCGTCTTTTTGGTCAGTCTTCAGAACTGATGGACTATGACAATGTGAGTTGTTATTTCTTTTTTCAATAATAAAAACCAAATCTTAAACTTTTTTTTTCTTAAGAATTTTTAAAGGAATTGCATTTTGTCATCTGGAGTCCAGCTTTGACAGTAGCCAAAGTAGATGTGTGTGACAGAGCTACACTTCTCAGTCATGCAAAAGCCCCCCCTGTATCTGCCATGCAACTGCTTCGCATGGTTCAACAGTAACACTTTCTGTTTCCTTACAAGCAGGTACCTACTACAGTTTTCACTCCTTTGGAATACGGTTGTGTTGGACTGTCGGAAGAAGCAGCTGTGCAGTGTTATGGATTAGATAATATTGAGGTATGAAAACGTTCGTAATTTTATCGTTGGTGTCAGAGTTGCACTGTGAAAAGACAGAAGTTTCACTGATGTATCAGGCAAAATTTTTGGTCCCCAAAATACTATGTTTGCAGTTAGGGAGTTGGTGTCTTCAGAAAAGCTCAGGACTTTAAAAGTATTGCAGCAGGTCACAATGGAAACTGTTACCTAGCGGGCTTAAAATTATTGATAGGGTGTGACAGCTTTAAACTAGCTACCATTCTAGTAAGTTATATTGTGCAGCATCATTAAATAACAGTTATGTTCCTTTTAATTGTCAGAATTGCTGGTCATGTTCTTTAGTCTACGTTTTTGGGATGTCCCCAGAAATATTCACACAAGCTGCTAAGTGTCTTTGTCACTAAAATGTCTTGATACAATATGCCTGGGCATTGCATATTGAGGAAGAAATCTGTAACAGTATACATTCACACCCAGCCCTCTGATACGAGAATGAGATTAAGGTACTCATGATGAAGAAATTCACAATCACTATAAAATAAGACAAAATTTGAACAAGTCACCCTTGAAAAGATATGTTGTGTTACCTTTATTCATTCATCAGAAAGACTGTCAGCATATGACTTGGTAAGTTATGGAAATACAAAACACAATACTTTACCTCATGTCCAGTCAGTCATTAGTTTTGTCTTTTATGATTCTGAAATATAGTTTATGCTTCAGAAAACTGTCCCAGAACTCTTATCTGGGTTTCTGGATGCTAGTGCCATCTAGAATGATACAAATTACTGTAAAACAATTGTTCTTATCTGATTAAGGCAGGCAATTGATATCTGTGTGTCATAAGATGCTTATGTTATGTATGTATTGGAGAGCAAGTTCAGCTGACAGATTTAGCTTGGAGCCCCAGGCAAGATCATTAACAAAAAAATAAGCATTTACTATTCAGAATGCAGAAATTACAGTTTGGGTTGTCTTGTGGTATACATTGTTATAGGTATGGAAACCTTCTTGGATTTCATTATTTTCAGTAAACAAGGTATTAAATTTTTGGGAGAAGCTTAAAGGAACAAAACTAACATTTTTAATTTGGGGCATTGGTTTGAGTAACATGATTATTTGTAATTTTTTTTTCAGTTTTGTTTTTAATGTAATGGTTCTCCAAGAAAGGTTTGTGTTAAACTCTTACTGTGCTTTCCATATTTTTCTTTAAAATAATGAACATTGATTATAAATCAATGAATTTTTTCTACAACATTACAAATACATAGTAATAGTAGTCATAATACTAAATAGCAGTTTTTGACATAATAGTACTCTCTAACACAAAATGTTATTGTTTTCCCTACCAGGTATACCATGCGTATTATAAACCTTTAGAGTTTACAGTGGCCAAAAGAGATGCAACTCAATGCTATATGAAAGTGAGTGTTGTGAGCTTTTAACTTAAAACAAGATATGGTATGGCTAGCTTTAAGGAGGACTATTTGGCAAAAAACCTCTCAAGATGGATGAGGTATTTTCTTGGTGACAGCCTGTTTCTCTAGTGTAACTTCAAATGTTTAATATTCATTACATATCCCATTGCATCTTGAAATTGCTTTACAGATATTAGCATTTTTCAGAGCTAACATTCTGCTGATTGATACCATCTTTGAACTGCTCTTAAGGTCCTAAGAAATACTCCAAATTCTATAGAGATTAATCTCTGCTTCCCCCAGCAAAGTTCTTAAATAGTTATATGTAAAATTTGAGTTGTCATCTCTTGGGGAAAGTATGTTACCTTCAAAAAAATTAAGCGTAAAGGCTTACAAAACTAAAGTAACTGTTCAGTCTTACTCATGAAAACAAAAACGTCTGGTGTGGATCAAAGTGTTGGACTTGAAATGTGTCTTTTCCTAGAACAATCCAGTTGCTTCAATGTTGAAAAGGTTTTTGATGCACTTGCCTGTAGTAGAGAATCTTAGATAAGGTGAAGTGTAGTGTTGGTATAATATATCATAGTTTTCTTTTTCTTCCTTTTCTCCTCAATAACAGGGAACAACCTTTTTTTAATAAATGCAGTAATTTCTGTAGGTCCATCACAAATTATTATGTTATTACTGTGTTAGGTAAGGAATATCCATTGTCAATACTTGCAACCAGTTTTTCTAACTATATTTTGTCACATCTGATTTGTGTAAGTGCCTTAGTAGCTTGCCTTAACTGTCCCAAGTATCAGTGCAACTAAGGTGATGCTACTTCTTTTTAGCTATTCCCTTTAAATTATGTCAATGAAAGTAAACATTTGAGGGTGAAGTAGTAATAGCATAGTAGTTGTTGGATGATACTGAATACAGTCCTTACTAAACTCCCCAAACCCATGAACAAACATTAAGCTTGAGAGTTTCAAACTCTGTTGCAGGAGGGTTTTTTCTTTAAAATTCCTCAATATTTATAGTACCATGTCCGAATTGCTGCTGTGCCTGGGATTCCTGATGAAAGAATCCAAGCCTTCATTTAATAGCAGAACCCATTAGATTAGTGATGATTTAATGCTTGATGGGAGGACATGGGGAGAGACTGACTTTCTTTTTGTAATTATAAAGATGGTGTCCTTAAAGGAAATAAAAAGTTTCCATTAAGTTCTCTAATAAAAGTTAAGCATGGAGTGACTCAGTCCCTCCCAGATACTAATTAACTCACCTTCATCTTTGGCTGCTTCCAAGACTTGACTCCTTTTTAGGTTATGTGGCTGATGTGGTAAATGTATCTCACCAAACATACTGCTGTGAGTGTTTACTGACTGAATCACAAAGGCACAAAATATCCTATAATTGGTAGTGGTCATCTTTGGAAATACAGCTGATTAGCTGCTGAGAATAACTGCACAGGCTTGGAGAATTGCTAAGGTGGCCACTCAGTGTGAAAATAACACTAGTCTGGTTACTAGACTACAGAAGATATTTTAAGGATTTCATACAAATAACAAAGTATTCAGTTTACTGCAAATTATCATTGTCAGTGGCTCCCTGAAGTCTGAAAGAAATACACTAATAAAGCTTCGATTCAGGAAAGTGCTTAAGGACAAGCATAAGACCTATTGAAGTCAGACTTAAGCAAGTGTGTAAGTTCTTGGCACGCTGGGAATAAACAGCTGAACTAGAATCTTGGGGCACTTCAGTTTCATTTAATTCAACTTCATGCCTTATCTTTAAATGTTCTAAGAAAAGATCTCTATGTAATGTATTGTTTTCAGATGGTGTGCTTACGAGAGAGAGAGCAACGAATACTTGGCCTTCATTTCATTGGACCAAATGCAGGCGAAGTTATTCAAGGATTTGCTCTTGGAATCAAGTAAGTACAAAAGAATGTCTCTAGTTTCTAAAGCCTGCTTTTTAAGTTATTGTAAGATTATAGAAGATAGCTGCCTAGTTTTGGCAACAGTATAAAGAATCCATGCTTTTTGTTACTTTTATGTAGTATTGCACATATTTTCACTAAAAATGCTGCAGTTCTTCATTAAGATGTACTGGATTTAGTTACCATGATACTGGATATAGTTAAGGAACAACTGAGGAAAATATATTGTTGGCTTGATGTAGTTAAAGCAAAAAATAAAATAATGCATTAACTTACTAATGTTAGTTTTTCTCAGAGTGTCTCTTCTTTTGCATTCTATGCACAGGATAGGAAATCACCATATAGTTTTGCAAGTCATTTCTTTTAAAGGATATTTGTGCTTTTCATAAAAACCTTTCTTTACACTTGCTAAGCATTTCCTTTCCTAATCTCATCTTTAAACGTGCACAGCCATTGCTCCTCAAAAGCTCAGGAAGGACTTGCATGAATTTTTATTTTTATGGGGTATAGGCTAACAATAATATGGTAATGTAAGGAAGAAACCCCTGTAGGATGATGGGAGAGGGGAGGTACTTTTGTCTGGAGCTATCTGATAATTGCAATAACAAACTTATGCAAGTAGGTGAACCTTTGTGATCTGAATCTTGTTTAAGATTTTCCTCAAATATTAATATAGAAGTCCTCCCTTTGAAGGAGTAAGGAACGGTTCTGGGTCCTCTCTGGTTAAATGGAAAATTCCTGCTATGCCTCTTGTGTGCTACAATTATTTTGTATTTGTTTTTTCATTTCCCTTCCTTCTGCTGATTCACATCTTCAGAAATGTTGATTCGTATATTTACATTACTAAATGTATAGTTTTTAACTCCTCTTTGAAGAAAATAGGCTCGGACACAAGAAATCACCCCCAGTTGTGGTGTTAGTTTATTTTGCTAAATATCATCCCATTTTATTGCAATTTTAGTCTTACAGTTGTGAGTGACTAGCATAAATGAAAAGCAGAAAGGATTAAGAAGGCAGGACCGCAAGTATCATGTGAAGAATATCTTGGAAATCACTGATTGCAGTGCACCCTCAGTACACATTTTCAACATGTGTTTGTAGTCCGTTAATTGCCAGTGGTATAGATTCTAGAACTACATTTTTTAGGATGTCATTGTTTTGAAGTTTTATCCAAAATAACCAGTGAAAAGGAAGCACATGAAACTGGAGTGCTTTTCTGCCTTGCCTGAGGGAAATTAAAACTTTAGCCACAGTAAGATGTTTTCAGCAGGTCAGATTCTTGTACAGGTTTCTATTGTATTTCACAAATCCAGAGCTTTCAATGTGGGACACCCGCTGTAAGAGCTGCTGTTCTCCTTTGTCAAATATTAGGTCTTCAGCCTCTCCAAAGGATAATTTTCCATCTTCCCTCCCCACTTGTCACTCCAGTAACATCTGTGCTCAGCAATGATTTTTTGTTTGTCGGTGCTTTTTTGGATGTAGGTGGGGACACCAGAAGACATCTATGGCTCTCTTCCCTGTATTTTGTAGAGGGAGAGAATGTTATTCCATAGAGAGCTTGAAACAATTCTTAAATTTAGGGCAATTTCAGCTATTCTTACAGCATGACCTGCCAGGAATAGCAGCTCAAAGGAAAGTCATCAAGTCTCAGCTCAAAGGAAAGTCATCAAGTCTAAGACTGTTACTGGACAACTAAAGGAATTAAGCAAGTGGGATTTTAGCTCAAGGGTTTTTTTAGTGTTTTTTTGGTTTGTTTTTTGTTTGCGTGGGTTTTTTTTCAAATGAGAGACTTTTTCCTCCTGCTTATAACATTGATAATTTCAGTGTAAGCACCAGACTCTCTCTAGGATCATGGAAGAATATTCTGGTATTACTTCCTTCAGCAGATTCTTTCCAGCAGTCCTAATTAAGATTTTCTTCCTCTGTGTGTATGTGTGTGCTTTTTCTATCTGGAGTCAGAGTTAGTGAAACACACGTGTACGTACAAGAAAAGCTGAAGGCTGCAGTTTTATCATATGTTTTTGCCATAGGCTTAGTTGTGACTTGGGGTAAATTGCTTAATTCTCTCTGTCTCAACTCTTATGACGATTCTTCCCTACCTAACAGTCTTGTGAAGCTGGGTGTTTAAATGTGGTTGTGTAAGTGCCTGAGAAATAATAGACAGCATTGTTTGAAGAATAAATGCAACTCCTCTACCTGATAAAATGGACAAAAGCAGAATTACTTTGATGTTTTAGGATATTCTAGCTACTTCAGGTGAATAGTGTTTGACTTTGTGGGTCTTTTTTTTTTTATTTTATTTTAATTGGCAGATGTGGTGCTACGTATCCTCAACTAAAGAAGACAATTGGCATTCACCCTACCTGTGCTGAAGAAATTACCAAGCTGCACATTACCAAGCGTTCTGGCTTGGATGCAACAGTCACAGGCTGCTGAGGTTAAATACCATCCCTGGAAAGAAGGAAAAGAAGCACAAAATATATTTGTAAAGAAAAGGGGCACTTAGAGTTGAAACAGCTTTAATGGTTCAAGTTCTAGGAATCTTTCTCATTCTCCCTGTAGACAGCTTTTTCTCACAGTGAGGCAAAGAAATTGCCCTTGCACCATCACAGTTCTAAAACCAATGCAGTCCTGCTGTAACAAATCTCTCTCTTTCAAAGTGCCTATAACCCTTCTCTTTCTGGGAGCTAGGGAATAATCACCGTTTTATATATGTAAATATAACTGAAGCTAGTGACATCTGAGGCCATCTCAAATTAAACAGTTGTCACTTGATTTTCTCTGTTGGCGTGACTGACTGCCAACAGAAGCGTCTCACATAATGTTCATACAGATGCTAGGAATCGGATAGGGCCTCCCTTAGAATTTTGGTGATGATACTTTCTCCTAAGTACTTGGATAGCTCATTAGCAATCCTAATCTTGAACACTGAGCCTCTGAACCCAGTAGTAGAAACAAGTTCCCAGAGTGTGTAACAACGGGTAAGCAGTCATCTTTGGTTTTTTTCTTTAAAATGTAATATGTACAGGAATTTAATAGAAAAATCACACATCACTGAAGCTGTGCTGCTACTGGATGAATCCCAATGGATTAATCAGTGGCAGCCTGGTCATAACATTATGGTGATGGCTGAGAATGAATGAGCTCAGAGGTGCTAAAGAAAGAGTTTAATTTTATGGTGACTTCTCTGCCCACTCTTGAAATTTCTGATTCAGTTCTGTTCAAATTGAGTTTATACATCTCACAAATTACTGCTTGAACACCATATATTAAGCAATGCTGACAAGTAGAAACAAAACCACTAATAATCCAACTCACGAAGCATTTTCTGTTTTATAGAATGCGGAAATCTGGCTGACAGTGTGATATATTTTGTTGGTTTGTTTTTAAGATTTTCTCACTGACGAGCTGGATACTACATCTGAATGGATTTAGGTCTGGCTTTAATAAAACATGTTACTGAAAGGAACTATATTAAACAGTGATCTAGAAAATAAATGGTCCTGCTCAGAACAAAGATAGAAAATAATTATCTGCAAACTTTTGGTTTTGGGGGAGTATTGGCCAGAGTAAGAAAGGATTAATCGTTTGCAAATTTCTGCTTTTTTTCCTGCTATCCAGAAGGGGGAGATGCTGGCTAATTTGTGGCGATAAAGAAACAGAGATCTGATAGTGCAGCTTCTTTTGCAGAACCCTGTTAAATAGGTAGCCTGACAAAGGCAAACACAAAACAAACTGCACTGAATTTAAGTCCAAATTGCAGCTGGCAACATTTTGATATACATAGTCACATAGTTTCTTGCATCCTTTACAGTAGAATAGTGCATGTAGGAAAAGAAGAGATCAACTTGAGGTGAAACAAAATGTATCCTTTTGGCAGTTAATTTATATCAGTGTTTTTGTGTATGGAATTTGATATTTTCATAGCTGTCCTTCTGCTTGTTGCACAGTTTGGAAGAATAGACTAAGGATCATGTATATCTTCACTATTTTTAATTTTATTGCTATTTCACTGCTGCAGCATGCACCACAGACAAATGGTTGGTTTATTTCAAGTGTGAAGTCTTTTTTACCATGAGAATTATACCTGTCAGAGAAACTATTAGACAGAAAGTGATCAGAACTTCTTTCTAGAATATGATGTAATAGCATTTATCACACTGTCATTGATACTAGAATACTCCATTTTCAAAGATTTGTTCTGACTTAAACAATGACAATGGAAATCTTAAATGCTTTCTTTACAAAGTTTCCTGATTTTTAGTCCGTATTTCTGGTCCATAAAAGAGGAAGGAGTGATACAGTTTGACTGCAAGTGGCATTCCCTGTCAGATCTGCTGATGCCATTTTTCATCTGTGAAGTCATCCATAAGCTTGTAGTTGAAAAGAAATACTTTGCATGGAAATGTAGTTGAAACACTGCCTGAATATTGCAACTGCCTTTAGAAGAAACGATTTAAATTTTATATCTGGATCTATAAATGGGTGTATACCTGCACATTCAGAAGTTCCTGTTTCCTTTAATAAAGGTCTTAAGAGTATGATACAGCCAAAAACCCTACAAGATTTTCCCAGCTGTTTAAAAAAAAAAAAAATTCATAGTAAATTAGGATTTTTAGAAATGTTTTACTTAATATTTCAAAACACTGAGATACTGAGCATCTCAGTCTGCAGAGATTTTGTGAGAAACATCCCACCTCTGACTAAACTGTAATGTGTATGCATGCAAGATTTTTTTTTCCCTAGTGATTACCTATTACAGTTCCTTTTGTACCCATAAACAAAAACATTGGTCTTTAGCCATGTGAAAATTGCTTCTCTGTCCTACCAGTGCATCCAGCAGACTGAGTTGTCTGCCCCTACAGACAAATTGATGGAAAGATGAGTTAATTTCATTCATTATAAAGTTGAAAATAATTATTTGGCACAACAAGTAAAGAGATCTCAAGGAAACATGTCCTCAGTGTATATAGGGTGTGAAACTAAGGCATGTCATCATTCTCAAAAGTAATAGAACTCTCTCGGTTTTAGAATTGCTGAGCATACTGCATGAAAATTGATCCTGTATCTTGAACAGCAGCCTAGTTCTGTTCCTCATTTAGTGGAAAATGTTGTTGCCCCCCTGAAGTAAAACTAAACATACATTCACACCTACATAACCCTAATTTCAAAATCAACAGCAAGACAGAATAATGACAACTACTGTGATTGTGCTTTTTTTCCTGAAGGATTCACCAGGGATGGTCCTTAAAAATTGTTTTTAAAAGCCTGACTAATGTCAATTGAAATGATTCATGTATGCTGCAAATTACTGATTCTATGTGAAAATGTAAAAAAAAAAAAATGTATTAGTCAGGCTTCTTCTCAGGATGTGGATGCCAGCTGATGAGGGCTTGTTTGTCAAACCACACCGTGGTGCAAACAAGTCTGAGCATTGCTGGGTCCCTCATATCTATGATCCCAATATTTATTGTGTTGTGAATTAATGAATTAATAAAGAAATTTTTTCTAGTAAATGTTTGACTGTATTTGTTTAATTTTGTACATATGACTTCTGCTTACAAAAGATTTCTTTTTTTATCTTAATGCTGTTTGTCTTGATTGAGTTATGTGTTAAGGAACCGAAGTAGACAAACTCAGACCTTTTAATAAGGAAATGCTGATACCTCTCTGTCTCTGAGACTGAATAGCCATGGAGATTATTCCAGGCTGGATGACCTTGTTTTAAATGTAAATTAAGAGAACCTCTAGACTTGGTAAGCATGGTTTCAAATCCTCTTCTGTGTATTCCAGCTAATGAGGTCTAACAGGTATTTTCACAGTCCATGTGTGTTGACATGCTTCTTGAAGACTCGTCAAGAGTAAACTCCCTTGAAATACAGTCAGAGTATTATATAGGGGTAAACTATTCTACATTAGCTATTCACTTTGAGTTTTAAACTAGAACATGTAGTAGAAAAAATGCATTGCAGCAAAGCCAATTGTTAGCTATGGGTACTGCTAGGTAAAAATGTTGGGAAATTAATTAGGAAGTGACTAGCAAAATATATTTAAAAACTCTGAGAAACTTCTCTGTCAGAAAAGAAAGGGACTACATTGTTAGAATTTATCTCAATTTTGTTTCTTTAAATCCGCTTATTTTGATGAGAAGTTCCCCTTAAGTCAGGTGATGCTGAGCTTCTGAAACAGGATAGTTCAATATTACCTTCGTATATGCCCTGGATTTGATGCTGGGAAGGAATACTGACTTTATTGTATTTAGAGGTATTTCTAATCTGTTTTAATTTCCTGGAATATTTAATTGCAGGTTATAACTAATTAGGATAGCTAGGAACAGTGGCTGAAAAAGGGAATAAGGTAAGCATATTTCTTGATGGTTTTTTTCTCCTTATTTTCATATACCGCTTAGTCCTGAAGCAAACAAGAATAACAGACAAGCAATAGACAATAATCTTTATCAATTAGGAACTGAATATACTGCATTATTTGTATTATACCAAATGATATCTTGTTCTCAATGGTTAGGTATTGTGTACAATTAAGTTTTGCCTTTTCCCATTTATGCATGCCCTGTATGTCGTCATATCTACTGAAAAATGTTTCTACAGTTTAGATTATTCCAGACCAGGAGCTGGAAAAGATATTTCAGTATAACAGATAGACTTTTTTTGCTAGTACAGTTATTCTGATAAAAACATAGATGCCATAGTGCAATGTATTTCTAACCAAAACAGTTGCACATTGTACAGACTTTTGAGTTCGAAGGCTTCTCTTTAGATGATCATGCCTATCCAACAAAGTAGGCAATTTTGTGCCCATATAAATTGTCATTTGTCTAAATCCCAGTGAAATCAATGTACTCAAAGTTAATGTTCGCCATTACTTTAAATGGGATGCAAGTATGTGTCTTAAGTGCTTTGTTAAAGGAGAATCAATATAAGCATATGCCAAAATGTCTTTCATTATTACAGTTGGGGAACAGACTGCAATTATGATTCAAAACATAAATGGTACAATAGACATCTATGATTAGGCAATGAAATATGCCTTTAATAAGCATAGTGCAGACAGTTTGTTTTGCAATAAGTAAACTTGTATAAAATTCATTGACTTTTTCATTCTTTCAGGTCTGTGTGCTCTCTTTTAAGAGAGGGTTTTTTACGTTTATGCACAAAGTTTTCCTGATGTTCTTCCAGCAGGAAGGCTGGGTTTGCATGCATTTATTCTAGTGCCAAACTTGAATTTTACTGGGAAGAGAGGAAACAGCAGAGCAGGCCTTTTTATTTTTTCCAGGGTAGCATGCAAAAGATACGGTGTCATTACTCTAACTGATTTTTTAAAAATTGAGTATTTCTGTCCACTACATGTCAAAGAGCTAATTGTGTTTCTGTTGTGGCACTCAAAGTCAATATTGTCAGCTCTTCTTAGTTCTAATC